GAATTAATTTCTAGAAATTATTAATGTTTTCTATTATTATTCATTACAATTAATTTCTACCTAATTTTTGTGGAAATAATTCCTAGGACAACATATTTTTATTATTTGATTCGGCGCGTTAATTTTGACATTTTGTGTAGACTTACAAATGTCATTATCAAATCATGTAAAAACTGTTGACATAAAATGTCAACCTAACATAGCACAGAAACAATAAATCAAGTGAACGTCGAACTATAGTATATATAGTAATATTATTAATAAAAAAGCGATGAACTCAAGTACGGGAACGCTCATTCCACAAGAGGCAGCTCAGAAGAATGTGCAAAAAATTCATCAACAAGTATATACAACGAAAATTAAATTCAAACAATTTCAGTAGATCTAAATAAACTCTAAATAATGTAATTATTGTTAGGTTCACGTGGAAACAATTGTTCCAATACGTTACACTAACGAAAACATCTTAATTTGTGAACGACTGTCGATTCGAAACAATTTGGATTCAATCTCGGCAGACATTGCAGATGATGTCTATTTTGAAAGGAACGCGAAACAACTATCGACGAACAAAATATATGCGATTTTTAAATGGAACAAATGGTATCGCGCGATAATAAAGATCGCAACGGCAGATAAAGTTCTACTCCATCTTCTTGATCATGATGGCGTGATAAACTTCCATCAAGGGTTGGTAATCCGCGAGATAAAAAACAAGGACTTGATTGATATGAAAGTTGGTCAAATAAAACTCTTCATTCATGCCATCGCTCAATTCAAACCTGGCCATTCTTTTGCGCACATTTTCGAAGAAGTTTTATTGAATAAACATGTAATGGGTGTCTTCTGTTTAATTGAGGAAAAAAAGAAACTTGTTCACGAAAGTTATGCTGGAGACATTATTTACAATGTCAATGGAAAAATGTTCTCATTTCGAGAGATTTTGATTCGAGAAGAACTGTCTTTTCCAAAAAATGTAACTGGGGTTTTCAACCGTAATTTGTTTGAGAAGAGATCAGCCATTCTTGCGCCGAATAATATACTCACTCGTCAAACTGTGAGTACCGTCAATTGTCAAACGATCACGGAAGGGCCGACATTGGCGTCTGTGCCAAATGAAATAATTGATTTCATTGAAAATCGTTTTGAAATCTTCAATGAAATATTGGGAGAAGGATCGGTAAATATGTTTTACATATGGCTATGTCATTTTATTTAATACTGAATACAATAGTTTATCCTTTTTTCAGTTCGGTTTAATTTGCAAAGGTTTTGATTTGGTGACGAAGCAGGAAATTGCTGTTAAAATATTCAAAAGTTACGTTTTCAACCAAAATAAAAGCCAAGCGGATAACCGTCAGGAGGCCTCAATCGCAAGACAATTATGCCATCCGCATATAATTGAACTGATTGAAGTAGTGGATATCTCACCTTGTGGTATTGCTTTAATATTTCCATACATGGTATACGATCTTCACGTCAAAATTCATGAAAAACCAGGAACCATTACAACCAACAGAATTAAAAATGTTATGGAAATGCTGTTATCGGCACTATGTCACATGCACGAACGCAGAATAATCCATCGTGACTTGAAGCCGTGTAATATACTTGTGAATAAAGACGGGCTAATAAAAGTTTGCGATTTTGGTTTGGCCAAAACGTTGGAACATGGAGAGTTCTTGAAATACGCGGCAGGTACACGACAGTATCAACCCCCAGAAATGTTTTTACAACAATATAATGAAAAAGCAGACATTTGGGTAAAAATAACTATTTAGTAAAAATTGATAATACTCGCAGTATTAAAACGTTGTTTTTTTCTTTTTTTTATAGGCGGCTGGATGTATTATGGGAGAAATGATACTGAGAGACTATCTCATTCCACAAGTCCATTCGCACGAAATGTTGGAAAAACATTTCGAAATTTTTGGAAGTCCCACAATGAATGATTGGTAATTGAATCAGTATTTAATATTCTTATTTAAATGAAATATCATTGTTTTCAACTATTATTTTTTATTTTAGGCCAGAAGGTTATCTTCTAACTAGAAGTTACAAAAAATATTCAGGTACAATTGAAAGATTGTTGAAAGGTGTTGATGAAACTATCAAAGTGTTCATTTCTTATTTAATGATATTGAACCCACACAAACGACCATCTGCTTCAAATGCTAAATTGCATCGCTTCATCGCTGATCACGGACATGCAAATTAAAAACATTTCGTCCTTTTTGGAGAAATAATACAAAATGAACCATCGTGTTTAAATTGCACTTTCAATTGAATAAAACGATCGATAAAAATGTTGAACATTTCATGTGACGTCAATTTTCTTTTATTTAGTTGAAGATAAGCTATATATAATTTCAATTGAATTTTCCAATCCTCAATGTATTTGTATATGTTATAAATTTAATTAATTTGGGTTTTTATACCGTGATCATATTGGCTTTCAATGACAACATGTCGCATATGGGACATGTTATACGATCTTGATCGAATACAAACAATTTTGCTTCGTTGATGGCTTTTGACAGTAGTAAAGTCGGTGCTTTGGCAGCGGTGAATTTATTAAAACCTTCCATGAGATGCATTATTTTGCTCTGTGTCACATCGCTAGTTGAATTATCTCCGAAGAAATGAATTTCAAATTTTCCTTTCGGCGTTTCTTTATGAATAATCCCTGGCCAATTGGAAAAGCCTCTGATATGTGCCCATACCATTTTATTTGGCCTTAAAGAAGGTTTTAGACACAGCACACTAGACATTAATTTTCGGCTTCGACGGTTCTGTTGTTTAAATTTTGAATCTTGGCATTTATTGGACTTTGAGGTATCTTCGATGCGGGCTCTTTTTATTGTCTGCGTAATAACTGCCTTTTTGTCATTTTCAGCAAATGTCCGTGATCGAGTTTGTCTAAGTTGTGTAAATTGAGTTGTTCTATTTCCCAATTCGCTATAGGTTGTTGACCTTGCTACGGAATAAAAAAAAATGGTGAGTAAAAAATATATAAGTATGTTAAGCCAAAAATTCCACAATTTCGGTGTGAATATAAAATATTTGAATATTGATTTTTAATATATAAACGTGTGAGGATTAAAATGAATCATTTGTACTTCAAGAAGACTTATCATTTCATCAATTGGCATCCTCAAAATATGTTATTCTCAAATTTAGCTCAAATTAAAAAAAAACTTTTACCAGTTTGAGATTTTGTTGTAGCTATGTCTGCAGCCATCGCTCTTGATTCAGTGCTTTGCATAATTCGTGGTGTTCCCACATCGTCAGATTTGGAATTTGATGAATTTTCTGTTGAAAAAAATATATATTGCTAAAATATTAAAATATTGATTTTTACCAAAAAAAAATCATTTCAAATTTCAACAAAAGAATCGGAGAAATTTTACTAAATTGGTTGTATATATAATATGGACATCTTTTTACCAATTTGATTAGATCGAGCAGCAGCCACTCTTCGCGATCGGGTCTGTCTGGTCACTATAGGCTGCGATTTAGAATTTGAATGATCACATTTGGTCAATGATTGAGCTGTTTGAGCTCTAGGCAAAATCGTCTGATTATTTGTAAGCTGAACTGCAGCTCTTGTCCGTGATCGAGTGTGTATAATTTTTTGCACACTGTTTATTGCATCGCTAGAGGTTGTCGGTTTTGCTATTTAGAAAAAAAAAGATTATTTATAGAAATCAGTGTAACCGAAAATAAAAACGTGATAATTGTGACACAATTAAAGTGAGAATTTCCAGTTTATACACCAAATCAATATTAAAAAATAATAACATTGACTCACTCAGTTTTCTAGGTTGTATTTCAACTGCTGTGCTTATGTCAATATTCGCTTCGTCTACATGCATTTCTTTATAAATTATTCCATCGTCGTTTCCGTAGATCTCATTGTCTGACAGCATATCCACCTCTTCAGCTTCAGTATAGATTTCATTTTCAGCATACAATGTTTTATTTTTTGGGTTAGAAATAGCATTTAACAACAATTTTGGATTATCTTTGTATGCAATCCATAACTTGAGTATTAACTCTGATCGTTTCTTATAGAACGAACTTCGTGTGTCTTTCTGTTGAGTTCCATTAATATAGTTCTGCAACTGATTACTATTGGCAGCTTCAACTTTTTGCAATGTCTCGCAAAATAGGAAAAAGTTGCCATGTGTTTTGAATAATTTGTTTACCTTCCCATTGAACGATTCAGCATCTGCTGTTGTTCTTTTGCCGCGCATATACACACAAAAATGATGGGGTGTAACAATTTTTATCCATTCTTCATTGAAATAATTAATGAATGGTCGAAATGCGTCTTTATCTAGTTTTAAGGCTTCTTTAGATAAATTTCTGAAACAATCTTCTATATAATGCTCTGGTAACAATGGTAGGCATTGAAAGCGGCGGAATATTTCTTTGTACTTTTCATCGCATCTAACCTTTTCGAATAAAATGGCCATCTTTGTCAATTTTCTCCGCAAAGCTTGACACATATGAAACCAGCAACCAAAAATTTGCATTGTGGAATTGATCTTTGAAAGAATATTTTTGAGTGCCCTTCGCATACCTTTTTCGAAATCGATTATTATTCCGTCTCCGTAGAGTGAAATTAAATTCTCGTGAATATATTTAAATGCGTTTTCGTATGCAGCTACTGTTCTCTTAGACATCAAAATATACACCAATGGAAAAGACTAGAAGAAAATAGGCTTTTAAATCCGTGATCTCATATTAATTGCAATAATTTTTAACACAGGTCAAAGTCCACTTACTTTCAAACCAAAACTGATGTGAAGAATCAATACCTGTTGCCAGACACCTTTCGGTGTTATTCTAAACGTTCCATCGAGTATGAAAAAACGTTCCGCCTCGTTTGTAGTTTCCAATATAAGCTCAATAGATTTTGATGATGAGAAAATACAATTTTCAAATGTATCTCTAATGACTACGCCGTTGAAAAATGGACCTCGATCATGTAATAGAGAAAACCCATATTCTTCTAAAACACTTGCTTTTTCAAATTCGGTTAATACTTCAAGTCCATTCGTTGGGGCTCTTCCATATTTCTGCTTTCGGCAATTACCCAATGTTTTTTTAAATTCATCGAAAACTTTTGGGTAAGGATTACCATTACAGAGCGGATCATTTTGCCAACTGAAATGATTAAAAAACGTACGAATAGAAAATGTGTTAAAATTGATCACGGCGAAAAACCACATAAAACTCACTCCAGAACAACTTCTGTGTAAATATCATATGGGGTCATAGAAGCGGGCGCTGTTTTTGCCTTTTCCTTCATTTTGTTATCACAATACATATATTTATATTCTTGGTATTGCGACCCGTGATCATTGAGATGCTTGGCAAAACTATCACGAAATGCAGATTTATCTGGATAAATAGAAATTCGTCATAAAATCTCCGAAATTCGTCATAAAATCTACAAAAATTGACATAAAATAACGAAAATCCTACCTAAAAACTTACGAAAATCAGAATAAAATTGAACGAAAATTGTCATAAAATTGAACGAAAATTGTCATAAAATTGAACGAAAATGATAATAGAATTGGACAAATATCGTCAGAAAATTTACAATTTACGGTAATAAATTTTCTGAAAATCTTCATAAAATTTCGTATTTTCGTAATAAATAGTCCGAGATTCGTCATTTCGTATGCGCACTCGTTAGCGTTTTTGAATAAAAATAATGTACCAACACATTGTGTTATTTCTGGCTTAAATTTTATTTATTTATTTATTGAATGAAGAAAAAAAGTATAATAAATGAGTAATGAAAACGAAATTGGCTACGATTATTCTATCTACTTTTTTCAATTTGCTTCAAAGTAACATATTTTTGTTCATTAAGGAATGAATGGTTTTTCATGTGAAAATGGTTTGTGCACTGCTGCAGTTCTTAAAAGCTAATGAATTTAAATGTTTATTTTATATTTGGACGTCAGTACGTTCCATTATGTAATAAGATGTGAAAAAATATAAACTAATAATTTCTTCGTAGCGGTAATCGGTAACGCATACGCCTCGTCTTACTTCTTTTTCTTTGGAACCATTGCATCGAATGGGAGGGGTATATACTGGTTTGATTTGACATCCAGCTGCTCTGGAACCTGGTATTTTCGCGTCTTTTGGTCGTACATGATTTGATGCTCCATACTGCGATGATTCACGCTATGAATTTTCACCGATAAGCTGGCATTACCACCAGCTCGATTATGCAGTATCAGCGGAGTGTTATGCAAAACTGCGTCGTCCACGACACTTGCCAATCCAACTTGGCGTGAACCTTTGGCAGCGATGATGGTGCGATCGTGGGAGGTTATCAGTATTAACTTTTCCGTCAATTTTTCCTGCGCGCCCGCTGTTTCATGAATGACAATTGGTATGCGAATGCGCGTGAATCCTGTCGTCAACAATTCGAATTTGCGATCGGAAACGAATTTGAAATATGCATCGCTCATTGGTGAAGCGAGTATCAAACCATCAGAAACCAATTGTGTATCCTCGCCACTTTGCCAATACATTGATGATTCCATAGTGACCTCGCACCGAATCACTGGAATTTTTACGTACACATCAATTGGAACGCTAATGAACCATTTTAGGTTGCAATGATTGATATGCTCGGCAATTTTTGTGGTAACAATGTGGCATTCAGGACATTTATCCATGATGCGCTGATTACATTCGTTCGAAAAGTGAACACGATAGCATGCTGAACAGAATGTTGCCACATCACGTATTGGCGCATTCTTCAATTCGAGAGCGTTTTGTACATTGTTTTCACGCACAGTCGAAGGCGACATGGACATGATATTCAAACCGTTTGGAATTTCGAATCGACTTCCATCGTAAACCAATCTGTAATTGCGTATGCTACTGCCAAAAACTCTGATATCGATTACCAATCCAGTTTGGGCAACAGCCAATACGAGCGTTGTGTGTGTCGATACGGGAGTATTTCGATCGAATGGACGATTCAATTCGGTGGCAACCATCATTCGTTGCGGCGATGTAACAATCAAAAGCTTTTCATGGAACATTTCGCTTTCGTCGTCTTTGACCACGATAATAATTCGAACCGGAGTGTATGCCGACGCACACAAACTGAGATCAACATCAGTCGAGAACCGAAAAACAGCGCCTGTTGGAGACGAACACAACACCATTCCATCGCTT